GCAACTTACCCCAACAAACCTTTTTTCTCTCTTTTTATCCCAAATTTAACTTTCATAGTAAATAACCCTTAAGTCATAAAAAAGGTAAAATGAAGACCAAAATACTCTCTGAAAAGCATGCCATCTAGCACAAAATGGAGGCTATCCGACACTTTGCTTCTAGAAAGCATGCGGTTCGGCACTTTGGCCATGTGGCCCTGCACAAAATGGGGGCGGTCTGGCACAAAATAGGGGCGGTCTGACACTTTGAGCCTGTAGTTTGACACAAAATGGGGGCGGTCCAGCACTTTGGGCTTCTGAAAAGCATGTAGTTCAATACAAAATAAGGGCAGGGTCAGGCACTTTGGGCATGCAGTCCGACACAAAATGGGGGCGGTCCAGCACTATAGGTATTTTCGTCAAACAAATATTACTTTTTTTGGCTTGGAGGGGCATTTGCTTGAAAATTCAACTTGTGGTAAGAGTTGCTACAAAAAGCTTTGTTGGGGGTAGGTTGTCTAGAAAGCCTCATTTTTGGGTTTTTTGTAATTTTCCCTTTACACTATGTAAAAAACAAAATCAAAGAACATAAATAAGAAAAAAAAAAATTGAGAGTTTCACTGCAATCTGAGGATCCTGGCTATGGAATGCAATATTGCAGTTGGGATTTGCAAGCCATGGCTGTTAATATAGGGGATTCAGTTTTTCAAGGGGCAAGGAATTCAAGTAAGTGGGTTAGGTGGAATGTAGAGAGAGAGAGAGAGAGATTTTGCAGGTCCTTGTTGGTTCTATTAGAGTGAATCCTGGAGCACCAATGGTTGAGCAAGTTTCAGTGCGATGAAGTTTGGATGGTGTGAGAGTAAGCAAAATCATTGTTCAATTTCGCTTATAGGCATTTTGTAGTATATTTCGATTGTTTTTAGATAGGGATTTTATATAATGAGACCATTTTGGTACAAGGAAGTTACAATTACTTATAACCATAAGATGTGAAATCTGATAGCTTAGGTGTGTCACAAAATTTGAAAAAAATTTCTTTTGAACTTTGAGCTTGGTCAATAAAATAAATACAGCCACCGAATTTCACATCTAATGGTCAAGTTCAATTGTGATCACCTTGTACCAAAGGTAAATAATCGCATTCTATACTTTCCCTTTTAGATAAGTTCTGGTTTTGGAGTGAGTTTGGAGAGAGAGAGAGAGAGAGAGAGGAGGGGTAGAGAGAGAAGAGAGGGAACAGGTAGAGAGAGAAGAGAGTTTGGGTAGAGAGATAAGAGAAAGTAAGAGATTTCGAGAGAGAGAGGGGGAGGGTAGAGTGAGAAAGACAGTTCAGGTAGAGAGACAATAGGAGAAAGATAGATTTTGGGAGAGAGAGAAGAGAATTCAGGTAGAGAGAGAAAAGGAGAAAGAGAGAGAGTTTGGGTAGAGAGAGGACGTGGCTATTGAAAGGGATAGTTTAGTCCTAAATATTTTGACTTTAGTGGTTGTGATACTAAAAGTGTTATAGGATAGGATGTCGGCAAAGTTAATTTTGGGGGTTATCTATAGTTTTCCTTTTTTTTAAGGTACATGAGCAAAATGAAGCTTAAAAAGCGAAATATCTAACTTTGAATAAGATGATTTGGACTGTTAATGGTTATGTACGTAAATTTGGCATTTCATTGATGTTTTTCAAAAACTAAATAAAAATTTATATTAAAATACAAAAAGATACTATAATTTTCTTAATTGATGTTTTGCAATACATTTACTAGTTGTAATGTAGCACCCTACCACTACTTCCACCTAAGCCTTGGGACCGTCCCGATATTTTACAATTTCACTCAAAATTAAAATAAAGGGTTCTGGTCTATGATCTATTTGGGCATGTTTGGTATGTATGAAAATATTTTTGTGAAAGTATTTTCACATGAAATAACTCTCCCGAGTGATTAGGTGTGGGAGTTTTTTCATTCCAATTGACTGCCAATTGATGTGCAAATTTGTGATGGGATCCATTGGTATGAAAATGCTCCTACATCAAATCACATGGATGAGTCTTTTTATGTGAAAATACTTTCATGAAATTTTTTTCACGTGTACGAAATATGCCCTTGAATACATTCAACTTTAGAAGAAAACTCTCTCTCTCTTCTTTTTTTTTTTTTTCTCATATTGTAATCATTCATTATACTATAATAGAAGCCCTTTCTCCTCTCTCTCTCTCATCTTGTATCCATTCCATGAGAACATGACCCTCTCTCCCTTTATTCTACTACAATAGAAGGCTTCTCCCTTTTGTTTGTCCTATTGAATCCACTATAATTATTATAATTGCCTTACATTACAAAGATCATAGCCTTACATTACAAAGATATGGGTAAGTGTGATGGCATCTCATTAAGATGTAAGCCTAAGGAATGTTTAATCTTAAAATAGACTTCCCACAACTCATCTACATATCATTTGGATAGGAAGAATGACATATATTGACATTATAGTACTAATCAACAAGAAGTTTCTATGGGGTTATTTCGGCATATGAAAATGTATTGTTTGGGATATATATTAGAGCAATGATCCAATGCAACAGTTGTATCATAGTATAATGCAACAGTTGTATCATAGTATAATGCAACGACATTTCTAGAAAAATATGTTTGTGGTATTTTTATGACCTCAAATTTTACACACACACTCTCTTTATCTCAATAATCAATCTCCTAAAAAAAAAAAAGTTCAATTTGAACCCCAGATATGGTCAAAATAAGTCACCTCCAAAAACGAATCTAGACCATTCATTTTGTGAGTTTCAAGAACTTAGCCTATATAAACCCAAAATCAATTTTTTTGTTTTTAACATTGTTCATCTAATGATAATAAAGACATCCAAAAAATTTGAAAATGAAAAAATCCTTCTAAGACCTAGATCTAAACATCTCATCAAAGATCTAAACATCTCATCAAAATGAACGGCTTATGTTAATTGGGCTAAAAAAATACTTTCTAAGTTGTGTTTTCAATTTTTTTTTTTTGTTGTAATTGTTCATTACAATTAAAAGAGTGTATATTTCAAAATTTGGATGAAACAAATGGCCTTAAGATGGTTTTTTAAGGTTGTTGCATCATATTACCATACAACGGTTGCATGAAATCATTGTCCTCTATATTACTTACGTAATATATTACTTAGAAATGGATTGTTGCTATTTGAGTAATATCTTAATGCAATCTAAAAAATACATTATTATTGTTTGGCTATGTCTAAAAAAAATATAAGAAATGTATTACTGTTATTTTGCCTAGAAAATAGTGCGTTTATTTTAGTTGCAGTCATGTGATTATTTTTGTATGTTTTTTTCTCCTCCCCCCCCCTCCTTGGCGTCACTAATTTGTCAATCATGTCAAGGCTTGGTACACAAAAACTGTACAACATTCTAATCAAATGATGCACACGACTAAATCGATGCATAACTAGAATATCTACCGTAAAAGAGTTTCAAAAATATTCCACTCCAATATTGTGTACATGTTGTGTTGACACACATCAGTAACCACAAACACTTGTTTCTAGGGGTGGCAAAGGGTTGGGCCTGGCTAGACCTGGACCCGAATAGTATTCGAGTTTAAAATTTGGACTCGATCACGACTTGTCGGGTTTTGGGTCTATCCACCGGGTCCTAGATCTAGTTAAATCTATTGCCACCTATGACAATAAGTTTTTTTTTTTGTCCTCATTCTTTACCATTATATATCTTATGACTATGAGACCCTTTTTTGTTGCTAATAATACACGACTATTGTCAATATTGTGACAATATGAACACCTAGCACGTGCCTAAAGACCCATGTTTGCCATCATATATCTTATGACTATAGGTACAGGTCGGGATTCGGCTAGACCAGGACTTGGACCCAAAGAATGTTCAGGTCCAAAATTTGAATTCATACCTAGAACCGAGATGGGGTATACCTGTTAGGTCCCGAATCTAGTTGGATCCATTGCCACCCCTACTTGTTTCTACTTTTAAACAAAGAAATCACTCTCACTGCCACCCCTACTTGTTTCTACTTTTCAACACAGAAATCACTCTCTTTCTTGTTGTATGTATTGCTATGGAATGTCAAAATCCCTCTCACAATCTCTTTCCCTCTCTCTAGACTAGAGAGATTCAATGCTCAATAGTGCACGTCATTTTATTTTTGTATATTTCTTCCTACTTACGAAATCTTACGAGTCTCGGACGCGAGACCCTCTTTCTCTCCCTCTCTTAAAAAGTCTTGGATGTGAGGGTCCCCTCTTTGTAAGGGGAACCAATGGGAAGCCCGGCCCGGACTGGACGGGGCTAGTTGAAACTGAAAAATTAGGGCCTTGGACCACAAGGTGGCCTTACTTGGGCTTGGGTCAGAACGTGGATGGCCCAGTTAAAAGGTGGCAATAAACCCAGGCTCGGGTATGAGTCCAAAACTTGGACCCAGCGGGTCAAGTTCAGGTCCATGTGGACCCGACCCACATAATGCTATTATTTAAATATGTAATATTTAATAGGGTTGTAATTCGGTGCTGTACTGCCTACACAGGGTCTTGGAAGGGGTCAGCTGGAAACGATTCCAACCTTCGGCTTTTTTATGTACAAAGTGGCCGCTCTCAATATTTGAACCCGCGCTCATGCACTGAGACTTTTTTACCATCACACCATGTGACAACCCCATATATAATATTTAATAATATTATGTATTCTAGTATTATTTAATTAAATATAACTATAATACATGTAAATATTTAACATAGTATTTAAATATATATATATTTTTTATTTTTTAATTTTGTCCGGGTCCGGTCACGGAACCGGTTGGGTCCCATAATATTATTTATCTGTGTCCGACCCGACCCGTTACTGCCCCTAGCCCAATTTGTGCCCACCGTCTGAGAAACATGGCCGGGCCTGGGCATGAGCGGCTGTCAGCCCCTCTCTCTTCTCTCGTTTCTTACATCAAATCTCATCATGGCAAATCAACAGCAGTATCTATCCCTTTATATCACCGCATATCTATGCCCCACTTGCGAAAATATTCATTGTATCTCTCTCTTTCTCTCTCTAAACTTTGCAAATGCATCGGCAATCCTTTCCATACTAAAAAGTGGCCGATCGGGCCTGCCTCTCTCTCTAAAATTGAAACCCGAGACTGGGTTCAATTTTGAAGCTTTTCTTCTACAAACCTCAAACCAACCCAGAGTTTTCATGGGATTTTGAGGGTCAATCCTAGGTGGGTTCTTCTCCAAACCCCCTTTTGCTCATGGGTTCTTTTCAGTTTCTCTTCTTAGATATGATTTCTCAGTATTTTCTCCTTTCATGCTTTTGACCGTCTCTCTCTCTCTCTAGAGTATATATTTATTTATTCTCTCTCTCTCTCTCTAGAGTATATATTTATTTATTTATGGATTGGTTTTTTCTCTGTTAGATTTTGTGATTTTGGATGACTCGTATTTCATGTTTTTCTCTAATCATCCCATGATTTTATTTTTTTATTTTGTTTTTTAACAGTGGATTTGGATCACTTATTATTGGTCTTTTTTAAGCAAGAGATCGTGATTTGGTGGTGGGGTTCATCTCAAATCGATGCATAAATTTTTGAATTCCTTCGAAAGCTCTTACCTTTGGTTATCTGAATCTTAGAGAGATGTTTCTTTGTTGAATTTTGGATTTGGGTGTACATGTTTAGCTTAAATTACACATGAATTGCTGCTCCTTATTCGTTTCTTTTGATTAAATTGTATTTTTTGGTTGTTTATATCCGATAAGAGCTGGTGGAATTGTTTATCTGATTAGAGATCAACCTGTTTATATGTAAATTATTATGAAGCAGATCCTGTGCTCATTGTTGGTCAGATTACTGTGATTGGTGATGTCTAATTACTGTTGTATTATTGGTGAAAATATCGGCACCATCATGTTTAGATGCCATCGAAATCAAATTAGGCATGGCATCATCTTTGCTCTAGTAGAGTAATAATTGACCTTGATATTCTTCGTTCTTTTATAAACAACCATATTTAGGGAGAGGACTAAAGATTGCCGGCGTTTTGTGCAATCTATGTGTATTCCAATCTCACAAAAAAGTGCCCTTCTCCAGATAATCCCACTTCATGTAGTGGATGTAGTTGATTTTTATCCTCTTGCAATAGACCTTGAAACTGCCCATCGTGTCTTGCTCTTCCAGTGTAGAAGAGATGATTCTCGGAAACTTTTCAGATGATCTTTTGAAAGCACAAAAAGTTTATGATGGATCTCAAGATCTAGCCCAACCTTCTCTTACATATCTTGTAAAGAGAGAATTTATTGGAAGTGTAATTAGCATATCAATTACATGATGACACACTTTTCAGTCACAAAATCAAATCAAATGACATGTAGGATGGTCACGGATTTAACCTGTCGCCTCAAAACTGATACCTGTTGAAGCAGTTTTCTCCCTCCGAATTTGTGGCTGCAAAGTGTGAGCATTTATTGGATATGTTTATCATTCTTATGGCTCAAAAATATAAATAGTCAGATATGTGATTTGAATTGTTCCTGGTATCGAAAATTTTACAGTGCACAAGGGTGTGGTGTTAGGGGATCATCCATGAACTGAACTTATTGAGATTTGTTATGGTCATGTACATGAAACTAATCTCCGTAACCAGTGGGAGACTCTTCTGACTTCCTCACATGCCTATAATGAGACTCTTCTGACTTCCTGACATGCCTATAATATTTCATACCGACCTGAAATGGTTTCCTTGCTATTTTTTCATATATGATATGATCGATGCAGAGGGCAGGAAGGTTATTTAGTCTTTACATTATAGAGAGTTTAGGGATATTGTGGTCTTTATAATTTTGTAGAGAAGTTTAGTGGTGGTAGTTTAGGACATTTACTGAGGGATTATTTCTTTTTTTGTCTATGGTAGCTCAGAAGACATCGTTGTCCAAGATGAGTAAAATTGAGGTTGGTAAAGTTTGGATGGGTCAGAAAGTTAGAGGCGAAGCAAAAATCACAATATCGATCGTCTTTCTTAAGTTTGGATTAGGCGAAGTATACTTGGGATCACCCATTTTAGGGAGAAGATGGAGGAGTTATGGAAATTTTACTTCTTGAGCTTTGGGGCTCAATTGATGGTTGTTGCACTCCCTCCCTTTTGAGTATTTTCTATTCTATACAGTTTCACATCATCAATGATCTTGTGGTTATTAGCCAAAGCTTGTCTCTTTGAAGATAACATGTATCCAAGCTCCCAATATGGCACTTCATGCCTTATTTTTCTTAAAAGTATGAAGTTGTTATAAGTTAATCATGCTTAATTTCTCATTCCAATGTGATCACAATATGGTGCCCTTTGTGCCATCACTAGTGCTGAAAAATGCTTCCAGAAACCCCAGTGACATTGCTGCAGTAGCAACATGTGGATGGAGCAAATATAATATGATCTTGTTTGCCTTGTTCAAACAATAGTTGCCGGGAGCGGAAGCAAGAACGGCTCCAGTTTCGGGAGCGGGAGCATCGGATCGACGGCTATCCAAAGCTCTGAAGCTCGGGGAGCGAGTTCCGGTGAGGGTAAAAGTAGCGGATCGAGATCCTATATGAATAGGGAGCGCGTTCCTAATACATCAGAATCTAGATCCTTGTTTAACGAGAGTACACTTTCCATGTCAAATGGGATCGTGTTCCCATATTCATTAGGATTGCGCTCCCATCGACAATAGGATCGCACCTTCATCTAAGAATGACCATGTTCCTATTTGGAAAGGATCGAGCTCAATTTAAGGAAGGATCGTATTTCGTGCATGATATGTCCACGCTCCCATCGTAGAATTCCACTTGTATGAAAAATTGGCTTAAAATCTAATTATTTTATTTTAAAACTTAATTTTATTTAAAAAGTTTCTTTTAGGAAGTCCAGGGAACGTAGGGATCGCGCTCCTAAAATTCTAAGAGCAGGGATCTAATTTATTCAGGAATGAGGTCTACAATTTTAAGGAATGCTTTCTGTGCGACGGTGGGATCGATATCGTTTGTGCATGGGATCGAGAATGCTATGAATAGGAGCCAGCTCCCAAAAAATTTAAAATGAGTTCCAGTTGAGAACCCGCTCATGGAACGCCGGAGCAGGGTTCCGAAGCGGGAGCGCCAACCTAGTTGGGCGCTTCCGGTAACTATGGTTCAAACCCAGAGTCAACATGGGCCCTCTAGAAACTTCTTGTTTGAGGCTGTAAACAGATGTTTAAACTTTTATGTCAATGGTGTCATTTTTTTGTATTGGCAATTCATTTTGCCTCATTGCGCAAGAATGATTCTATTGTAGTTGTTGTGTTTGACTAATTTATTCCATAGCATTTATGTATGATTTACTTCTGTAGCATTCATTATGAGAAATTATCTCCTCATAGGTTTCTGTTCAATGCAATGCTTAGAAACTCAAATTTGGTTCGTGACTCAGTCAGTGCAAAACCAATTCAACTAACCCGGTTTTGTCAATTTTGGAAAGTTTTTTTCTTGCCAACATCCTGACTCGAACTTGTGATGAGTCTAACTCGGGAGTACTACCACAAAATTAATGATATGTTTCAGACTCTTACCAATATATTGAATAAAAATACCAAAGAACTCAGCCAAACCTGAGTTTTCAATAATAAAACTTCCGGACCTTGTGAGTTGAGTTTTCTCGGACAAGTTGCAAATGCTTGAAATGAGCTTTTCAAAATGGTTTATAGTGTGCAATGTTGTACTGGACATAATGATCTATGCTGTGCTATGAAGATCAAAATTTTCATCTTTCTTCTGCGGCAAGCTAATGTTTTGCCAATGGTGGCGTGCATCATGATAGTCTATGGCCATTGGTCGGCTTCTTTGGTCATTGAGATACGAATCATCATCTCTTTGATGCCTATGGGCCATTTCATAATTCACGTAGAATAAATTTGAGCATTTATAGAAGAACTAAAGTTCAAATATCTTTGGCCGAAATGGCTCCTATTCACCCCCTGAACTATTTCTATTCCAAATGACTCAACTATTCATAAAAATCAAATTAGGAGTTCGTAACTGTCCATAATCAGATCAGCAAGATTGTGGCATGATTTTAGCCCTCCTAACATAATCTTTAAAGATCTGAAAAAATTGGGGAAGTTGTAGACAGAGAAAGGAAACTATCTGTGGCCTATTCTGAGACTTGTATGGGCCCTTGCTCACATCACCAAGATGTGATTGGATTGCACCTGCAAACGTTCAATTTTTTCTGATTCTTCTTTTCTTGTTTTGTGTTTCTGTCTCCATCATTGAGCTTTTGAATTCGACCTATGCCACCAAATCACAAGAGGAGAAAATATTTTGATAGGCAATGAAATTGGATCTAGATCAGTGGATTATTGTACCCTTAACCCACAAAGTTTTTCTTTTCTTGGGAAGTTGTGCTTTGGAACCTTGTGGTACAACATGTTGGTTGGAGGAGGAAACAAGGTTGTGCCATTGGACTCCTCTGCGTAAATCTTGTGGCTGTGAAGCCTCTACAGTTGATGTATCAATGAAGAATGGATATCTTTGAAGAGAGGGCATGCTTTGACTACCTAATAAGCAGATTCACTACGGTGATAACCCTATAGCTCTCTTCACATCCAATCATCATATGAACTGAATCAACGGGTTGAGCACTCTTGACAATCACTTAAGGGAAGAACGTAGAAGCTTAAAGCCTTAGTGACCCGGAAATGCCTGATATCAATTAGAGACAGATAGGGCACTGGAGATTAGATGGATCTAACATTTAAATGCTGGTCCTTTGATTGAAAATTGAATTAAAGGACAGATGTAGGGTGCTCTTGTTATCACATTATATGCCCATAGGTTTTTTCTTGCAGCTTCCTTTTTCTATCAGGCTTCTTGTGACATGTCTTTGATTGGCCTGTGTCTCATATTTTTAGGGCAAGCCATCTAGTGTTGAGTCATTGACAACACATGCTCAGTACTAATGGATGCCGTAGCCTAGTATTCTGCTTCAACACTCGACTTGGCAATTTGGTTTTACTTTTAGCTGTTCTAACTTATAAGATTCTTTCCCATAAATATGACATTTTTGATGGGGAACCTCCTCTTGCATTACAATTCTCTAAATCCTCTCATGAGAGATCACATAAAGATGGATATAGCAGCAAAAAGAATACCTCTTTTTTTAAATATCAATGATGATAGTGCTCAGGATATGAACATGATTTGTACTCTGGAATTCAGAAATTTGGTTTTGAATTCAGTGTGCGTTTGAAATTTTTCTACCTATGGTATATCTTGTTAGGCCTTTGAAGAGTTGGTATGCAACCAAATAGAAAATAGAATGATATAATATAAATTTTTTCATGCGGACTTAATTTGTTTTAAATGGTAAATTATATGGAGATTACCTTGCTTTTTTATATTGTATTTCTTGCTCTTCCAATATTCACTTTATAGGTATATCGTAATATCTCTCAACTCTGACACAATGTTTCATGATAAAAAGTTCAGGAAAATTAGGGTTTTGTGATAATTAAGTAGATGATCAGATCTTATCAAATCGTCAACCTATGTCATCGAGCTTTGAGGGGAATAACCTCAAGGCCAGAGGTGACTCAGTAATGGTCTGTCTAACATTGTAAATTGGGATCCACAGAAATGCAAAAGACTTCAAGTCTGAAAACACTTTGGAATAGTAAATCTTAATAAGATTGATATTAATGGGATGATAGGAGGAAAGAATGTGATGGAATTATCTACCTCGAGCAAAAATTCTGAGAAATTTTTTTAAATGATTGCAGTTATATGAGTCCTGGGTGACAATCCTGGGGCTCTAATACCACGGGTGTTTTAGATGCAAAGAAAAGGAAATTTTAGAACTAATAGTAATTGATTCTCATCAATCGAATGTCCGGTTGCTACCCTTATTCACAAGAACAAATATATAAATTCAAAAGACACAGGTATACAACATTTAACTACCAGTAGTTTTTGAGATTCAACGGGGAAAATTCCTCTTGTATGTCCTAAATGTCTATGTTACTGTAAAGAAACACTAGTCTATAGTGACTAAATTAGTTAAGTGATTGGTAAAAGTTGGGTCTAGGAAAACTTAAAAGTCTTCACTCCTGGAGCCTCTTTCAATCAGCTTCAGAATTCATCCTAGACAACACAACCATGTGGAATTAATTGCGCAGAGCTCATCCTTTACAACTCAATCCTTTATTAAGCGAATTGCCCCTTAGGTATTTGACAACTACTTTATGAAGTTGAATTTGATCCTGATTTCAGTCACATTATTGGTCAGGACAACATCGAGCCCCTTTGCCAGCAGACTACAGCCCTGAACCAGTAGTCTAAAGCCAGTGAATGATAAGATCCTCCTTGTTTACATTGTTATTTGCCAACATGACATGGAGTTCTAGAATTATGGGTTATTCAAATTCCTGTTATTAAGAAGATTCAGCATCCAGTTGCTGGAATCCTTCCCTCGTGAGGCTAATTTGAAGTGACAATGATGACTTTGAGTCTTTTAAGAAATTTGGTCTCTTAAATTCTTGTGATCAAGAAGATTTAGCCGCCCAATTGCTTGAGGCTCTCCTCAATCAGTATATATACATTTGGCAGTGACCAAGACACTAGGTTTCATGCAATTACATGATTGGCCTTTTTGGAATTATCAATCTACTCTCCAATATTATTTATACATAAACCTAATGTCTATTGCGATGTGCATGTCATACAAAAGACCCTTAACTCTGTCTGCACCGCATGTAGATACTGTTTAGTTTGGGAGGTCTGTTAGAACATGTCACGTTAGCGCTTATAAAGAGTGCTTTCAGGAAGATTCATGGACTTTGGTACTACCCTTAAGGGCATTTTAATGATTTTAATGCATGTTAACTTCTTGAGAGAGGTGTGAACCCTCCAGTTAAATACAAAAAACCAGTCATTTATTTGAACATGGACCTAGTGCATCCTTATAGTTTTATTAGCATCTCTCATTTTGGAGCTAATGTATCGATATTGTGATTTCTGCAAATTATCATGATCTTGTTCGTAGGAGACATATAGTCTTACCTTTCAAAAGTCTTATATTTTTTTATTCCAAGCTTGAACAATTTGCTTTCTGATATGTAGACTTTTGAAATGAATCTAGCAACCTCTCCTTAAAAACGTGAAGTGGTTTAAACCTCTCTCTCT